GTTCTTTCCTGTTGCTCAGTATCTAATCCACCCTGAACTGGTACTAAGCTGTGGTGAAAGATGCCTGTCCCATGTGTTTAAAAGAAGCCATGCTTAGTGAATAGGAAAGGTAGGTAACAAGTTTATTTTCATTATGAGTTCTTATTGCAATTAATATTTCAAGGAATGATGGGAACTGTGATTAGTTGAAGCTAGCAAGCTGCTTTTTGAGAACCTGATGTAATCACCCTGGGGAGGAAGAGCATTGGCTATAAATGTTTCTTGCTCTGTTGTGTTTCTTTTGTAACTTGAGAAATCCTGTTCTGTTCTGTAGTACTTGCAAGCTTTCCAAACATTTCAGACTGACTGTTCCAGGTGGGTCTAAAAGGTACATCATCTAGGAGACTAAGAGGAAAAAACCCCAGTGGTTTCTTAATAGTCAAAGCTTCCAAACGCAAAGATTAACACACTTCTGGTATATTCAAGTTTAGAAGTTGTGAAAAATCAGAAATAATTCATGATTGAATATTTTTTATTGTGGAAAGGAGTTGTTTACTTATTTTATTCCAATAGGTTTATTTGTTGAGGTTGCATTTTTTTGACAATACATCAGAGGGTTTAATTTTTCCAGATCAAGGTAAACATTCAAAAATCTAAAATTTCATAAGCCCTTGAACCTGTTTCTTGGCATATTTCTGTTTGAGAAGTACTGTTAGAGTTTAAACTGTGGGTTTGGGGAAGGAAAAAATCTTGACTTTATGCTGATATAGTTGGAATGAGCTTTCATCTTTCCTTATCTCCCCAAGAGTATGGTCATGGTAATTGATTTTTAATGTTTCTATTTGGCTTGCAAGAGCATTTCTTCTATTGGCAGTGCACCTCTCCACTGACAAACAAACAGTTGTATTTGTTTTCTTTTGTTTTCTTTCTCCTGAATCCCCAAATTACTTATCTACCTGCTGTTGCTTTCTGAATGACTTCTCATCATATAGGAAATAATTCCCTGTACTGTCTCCCCACCTGTTGGTATCTGAGCATTACTGAGGCACATGCCTGTCAGTCCATCTCCACTTTCCCTGGTTTTCATTTGCTGGTTGAAAACTTACATCTTAAACGCTTACAGGTATCTCCTCTCCTCATTTTGACTTGTGAACAGGTAAAATTTCCTAGCCCAGGAAATAATCATTTTCTTGTTCCTGTTTCTGCTGAAGTCATCAGAATTTTGATAGTAAATTTCAGTGGAGTTTTGCTTCACCCCCAGAGTATAAACTCTGCTCAGGTAGTGAGCCTGCCTGGCTCTTGTTCTTTGAAATGCATGAGCACTGTTAGTTGACTGGTTCTGGCAACCATCTGTGTTTCTGCAGATCTTATGTTTCCCAAATGAGTCCTACCAGAGGCCCTGATGTCTTTATTTAATCAATGAGTTAGAAAACTGGAGTAGTTCCAGAAATAAGACATCAGAAAATATGGACATGTTTGAATGTACTAGATTTTACCATGGCTAAGCGATAATCTAAACCCTGAGGTGTGAGATTAGCATCTCTTCCAGCAATGGAACGATAGTTCTTTTTCACTTTACATTTCCTGGATCTATTATTTCTAAATATTTTCTTTCACCTTAGTAAAGCCTACTGCCTTTGATAGTGCAGGGGAATTATTGGCTAGGCTGTTGAAATTAATGGCAGAGGGAATGATGAGTGAGTAGAGTGCAAAGGGGGAAGTTAAAATTATGTTTAAAACAAAAGATACAGAACTCGGTCCTTTAGAGTGAATTTATTGAACTGTGGTTCTAATACAAGGGATTTTATTAAAATAGTGCTTTCTTTATTCAACAGTTGAGTTGTCTGAGTATTTGTTCCTGTCAGAAGGATGAGCTATAAATGACAGCCTGGACTTCCTTAGATTGATTTTTGTGGTACTTGGAATCAGACTTGTGTGCTGTCCCATCTCCTTTGACCTATAGCAGAAGATCTTTTAAATTCTGCTGTGTCTTCTGTGACTTAGAGTGACTCATCATGGGAATGTCTTCACTGAAGAGTGTACCATTAATAAGTCTTGTTTTTCTTTGCAATAATGAAAATAATACTTTCAATGTTTTATTGGGGAGGGTAAAATTGCTTTATACGTATTAAAATTGATTCATATGAGTTCTCTTTATACTGCAAAGGAAGTAAGAGTCAGCATAAGTTGGTCAGCTCATGGAATTCAGGTGAGGAATATACAGAAGAAATAAATGCAGTTAAGAAGTCCTGTATTTACACAGTTCATTTATGACAAAATGGAGAAAACAGAAGATGTGGGAAATCTGGGTAAAATTCACTGTCTAGTATTGTTTAGCTCTCTTCAGGAAATGTAGGTGAACTTTTAAAGCTCAGAGTGAACCCTTAATCCAGTTTTCAAATGTAGTCATTTTGATTATGTCACATTGAGTAAAAAGCCAATACATTGTCATGGTATCGTATCCTTGAGACAAAATTATAAATGTTTGCATTTACTGTACTATTACACAGGAGTGAACTATGGTGATGGAAATGATTTAACCTCACTTTTTGTCTTGTAGCTAAACAGTGATCTAACAAATGCCTGTGCTTTTAAGGAGATGCAAATATGACTCATAGCTGAGCAAGAACATTTGCTTCAAGGACAGACATAGATTGTGTTTTTGTAATATCCTGTAAAAGCTGACACGTAATTTAAAACACAGGGTCCCTTTGATGTGAAGTTTATCAGTGAAACAGTGAAAAAGCAACTGGATTTCTTTCTGAGGGAATGTATTATCCTGATTTTACCATCTTTTTTATGAGACTCAATTAAATTGTACAGTAACAGGCAATTAGGCTAAACTATTTGCATATCTGGCCCTTAATAAGCCAGTATCAATAGCATAAATATTCTTAGATTAAGAATGTGTGTAGAGTACTGCTTTAAACATTGAAATTAATTAAAATGCACTCGCAGGTCATTAACATTGTAGAGAACCTTTTATAATGGGAATTTCATTATGCTGTGGAAATATACTTTCCCTATTTTTATATATTCATTCTCTCAGAGTACATTCTAAGTTTGATTGTTTTTAGTAGTTATTAGCAGGACAATTGCAGGTTCTTTATATTCACTAAGTTATATTTCTGCATATAATAAATTACAACCCAATTTAATTTTCTGCAGTTTTACTGGTGAAAAACTTTATCCAAAGGTGCATTGGACACTTCTGGAGTTGAGGCATTGTCTGTTCCTGTGGAACAGATTTTGCAATTAGGGCCACTGAGTGCATTAAAAATATGGAACTAAAATCAAGTGATCATACAAATACAGCTTTTGTAATTGATAAGATTTTGGGTTGAAATATCACACGGCTACATGTATTAAACCCGAACTTCTCCTCAGTTCTATGGAAGAAAGTATAGACAATTTACAAGAACTGCCGTTTCTGTGCTCTCGAGCAGAAGGGAAGCTGAAACCAAATGATCACTTAATCAGATTATTGAATTCAATTATTTGAATCTAAATTAACACAGGCGTACTGGGGACAGAATTGGAAAGATGAGATCCCAAAATAGTTAGGAAGGGTTTTAAACGAAGTAGACAATCAGTTTGTGTTTGCAGTAAGGTGGCTAAGAAAGCACTGGTTTGATATTCAGAGAAGATGACTGACAGATAGTGCTGGGAATGCTTATTTCTCCAGCCGTTCCCTGGCACGATAAAACTCCAGACACGTAGCTAAGAAAATTAATACCAGTTACCCAGATGTAAGACTGCATTCTGAAGAAGGGAAAAGGATAAAGTAGAAGCTATGAAATAAGAGATAAAAAGTAAGAAATGATAGACTAGACAGTGTAACTTAAATTCCTGAGGAGGCTGGCAGTGAATAACTGAATTTGTACTGAACATCGGCAAGAAACCAGGAAAAGGAGTAACTGTGAAAATGGATTTATAAGGAAAAAGTGTTTCAATCCACTCTAAATTACATCCATAGAAGGATAGGAGGTATGGTTAGGAGAGAAGCACTAAGTGTAGTACTGTTATCTTATTCTTAAGATACAAGAGCTCTTATGTTTTTAGAAAGGATTTGGGTATTGTCTCACAGATGGTTCCTGTGAGAAACTGTAGCAATTTGGCCTGACATAAATTGTTCTCAATAAAAGAAAAATAGATTAGAAATTTGTAGATGTATTGAATAGGCGTTTTGCTGGGATAGATTGTCATTAATGACCTGGAAATGGAACAGAAAATAAGCTGGCAAAACTTACAGACCAAGCGACCTGGGTTTGGTGGGGTTGGAATAGCAAGTGAAGCTGAGGACAGGAGTAAAATTCCAAAGCTGTTCTACTGGAGAATCGATCTGAAGAGATAACATGCATTGTAAGGCAAGGTACAAAACTCTGCCTTTAAAAAATGATCCAGTGCACAAATAGAGATCAGGAAGATAAGCAAGTGTTG